TCAACTAGAGAAACAAATTCATCTACACTCATGTATGTGTAAGAGAGAGCTTGATATAAAAGAGTAATTGTGTATTAAGGAAATGTCCTAGACCAGTCCAGATGAAGTCCATAAGTCCAATATTAGCCTATAAGTCTGAAAGTAGTCCATAATTCCCTCTTCAGACTCACACAGCCACATGTAGTGATGCAGAATTTAAGAAGATCGCAGCCTGGTGGGTGCATAACCTTGTGGATCCAATGGCGATGGAAGCATCTCAGCACTGGTGTGGCCCGAGTATGGCTCCACAATGGGACAATGGAGCAGAGAGAGAGAGAGAGAGGCTCTCCCAGGGCTCAGCAAGTCTCTGCATAGCTTGTCAGCAGGAAGACGAAGGCAGGTAGAGAGAGGAAATTCCCAGAATCCTAATGAGAAGGCCACATCCATAAGGAGGCATCATAAGGCTGGGACCTGATTGGCAGGCTAGACTCCACCCCTACATTTATTTATCAAGTTGGCATGAAATTATGTAACCACCACAATGTGTATTTAGGTAAGGCTATTACAAAAGGCATATAGTCAAAATCAACTCAATGACAGTGCATATGTATGTGTCTGTGGATTACAGAGGGACTGTGTCACAATTTCCGTTGATTCTCTCAAGACAATAACCAGTAATTAACCAGTTGTCTTGTCAATTCTAACTCATGATGACTTTGTGTGTTTTGGGGCTCAGCTGTCATCTATAGGGTTTTTAATGGCTGGATTCTTAGAAGTCTATTGCCAGGCCTTTCTTCCAAGGTACCACAGGGTAGATTTGAACTGACAACCTTTAGGTTAACAGCCAATTGTGAACTTCTTGTGCCATTTAAACATTGATTATCTATCAGTTGGTGCAACACTCCACATGCTAATGGATCGGACTGGAAGACTTATTCAGGGCTCACAAGAAGTAGGCAGTAAGCCTGTTTATAATTCTCAACAGACATCTTTCACAAAGTTTGAGTTCATAAATAAAATTTTTTTAGAGAATGAGTCAGTGTTTGTGCTTCAACCCTGCTTTCCATCCCGAGAACAGAGGTGGAAATATCTCCTCCCACCCCACTGAGCCGGCCTGGAGGAGATTAGATCTTCCAGCTCGGACAGCTACAGGACACACACCTATAAAACCAAATGGCATAAGGCCGCTGAGAGGGCAGATCGAACAGGGAGCAGACTGCCGGAGGAACACACTCTCCTCCCACTGCCGATGGAGCGAGGAGACATGAGTGTCTCTCTAGGACCAGATGTGAGCCGAGGGGAAAAGGAAGAGCCAATGGCCCACGGGAAACCTAGAGGGATGTGGCCAATCCCACAAGAAGATGGGCCGCCAAGGTTCCAGCTCTGAAAAGTTGCGAGCGACAGACAGAGAAGCCGGAGTTGCTCACAGCACATGGATACAGCACCACGCCCCCCGCGAATATTTTAGGTGCCTACAGATGTATCTCCAACAGTTCTCCTTCAGTTCTCTTTGCGCTCCTTCAAAACCAAAGAAACTTGTTTTTAAATATGTAAGGGAACCATTGTAGCTACTGAAGCCCTTTCCTTATTCTATTCCTCCTCTCCTTCAAGTAGGAAAGTCCAGAAACCACCTAGGAAGTAGGGAAGGAGGAGGCACTAGAAAAAAAAGGCCACCGTTCTCCTTCCAGTCCAAACCCCATTGCTGCCACGAGCAGAAGCAAGTGGAGTGGGGTGTGGGGAGCTTAATGCCGGATGGAGCTCAGAGCTGTCACGATTACCTAGAAATTGGTAACATAATTTTCCCGTTTCTAAATTGCCTTCACTGGGTTTTTCTTCACAAAAATATAGACACATTTTAGTTGATGACTTTTCTAATTGCTTACGATTTGTTTTTTAAATTTATTTTTTGTTTATTTTCCTATTCTCCCACTGATTCTCATCCTTTCATAGTCTTCGAAGCCTGCTTCTCCTCGGGTTTAATCACTTCTCTCCATTTGTTTCCTCCTGTCTCTTTATGAGATTGACTAATTTTGCTGAGCATAATGCCTTCCAATTCTGTCCACGTCCTGAGGTGTTTGACAGTTTCATGATTGTTTTTTAGGGATGCCTAATATTCCATAGTAGGTGTGGTAGAGGCTAGCCCGTCAATCAGGTCATAGCCAATGAGGGCTCTGTGTGGGCATGGCCTTCTCCTTAGGATTTTGGGGACTCCTGTATTCCTCCTTGGAGGTGGGAGACACTCTCTCTCTGCTTACCTCCTGGGGTGGGAGACATTGCAGCTAACAAGACACATGGAACTATGCTAGTGCTCTGAGCTGGAGTAACCATGTGGAGACCCTTGCCAGCATTGAGATTCTTACAATGCCACTGGATCCACAAGATTTCCCACCCACTGGCCTGTGATCTTCCTACATTCAGTATTATTGCATGTGTTTCTTGAGTCTGAAGAGGAATTTATAGATTAGTATTGGACATATGGGTTAATATCAGGCTTACGGACTTGATCTGGACTGGGCTGGGATGTTTTCTTTATGTACAATTGCTCTTTATACAAAGCTCTTTCTTATACACATATGAGTGCCTATGAATTTCTACCCGGACTAACACAGTCCAAGAGATGGGTATTTTTAATCTCTAAAACAAAACTTTTATATGAGAAGTGATGAGAAGACATTTTAGAGTCAGTGAAAGAGCAGATATGGTCTGGTTTTCCTCCCGGGGCAGAAGTGGAGAAGAATTAAGTTCATTTTAAACAAAAGTGCTGTAGGCTGTGGGCAGGTTTAGCTCACATCACAGAAAGCTCAGCTCTCACCGGTGGCATGGTCGTGTCAGGGACTGTGTGGCCATGGCCCCAGCTCTGCTCACAGTGGTTCTCTTGGCTTGGTCTGCCTTCCCTGCCCTCTTCTTTCCCAGCCTGGCATGTGCCTTTCATTCCAAGACGGCTGCAGCAGCCAGTGTGACTACACACTCCCTCCCTGTTCACTTGTAGGGCAAGAAATCACTTCCCACAACCCAAGAGCCAAACTCCCCAGGGATAGATTAGGTCACACCACTGTGAAGGAATCCCTGTTGCCAGGGAAAGGCCAATGGCCGACCTCTAGAAATGGGCGCCATCAGTGGTAAAGTAGAAATGCAATGAGGGAAACTAGGAATGAGCTAAACTGACACAAGAGCCATGCCAACCAACAGCCCTAAGATGGGGCCATATGGGGGGAAATTACAGCTCCCCACAACTAACCATGGGTTCAGGAAGCACAATTTTACGGTTAAGATATATAAAGATTACATTAAAGTCATAGAGAGCATGAGAGAGAGAAAAGAGATTGAAAGAATGGAGTCAGATACAATTCATGGTAGCATGCTCACCTCCTGGACGGCCACGATCTCAACAGCCAGGTCCGCACACAGCACGGGCCCGAGGCGAGGTAGGGCGGAAACCTCCAGAGAAAGCCAGCCGGGCGGAGTTAGCCGGCAGCTGGAGCCCCCGTTTATTGTTAACCCCGGCTTTTCTCTCTTAGGGTGCGTGATTACAGGTAACCACACACGTCACAGGAAGGGGCTGTACAATAGGCAATACAAGCAATAGGAGGGGGATATGCAGTGGGCATAGGTGTAACAGGAAGAGGATGAGCTAGGGGTGTACACATAATAGGAAGGGGCGGGACTAGGAGTATACATGTGACAAGATGAGCAGACCCTAGATTCAATACGGAGGCCTAACCTTGGCCTCCCTTGGGTGGGCTTGACTTCTCAGGGGTCTCCTACAAGGAAACAGCCAACTACTATCCTTATCAGAAGGGAGTGGGCCCTACTTGTTGTGGGATAAACAGTGGTGACTGCTTGCTCTGGATGGCTGATAACCCTTAGGGTGAATAACCCCTGACCTAATTCTGTTGACCTCCAGTGTACAGTCATTCGCCACGTGTAGCAAGCAGCTAAGTTTGGCCTATATTTGGGGGAGACAACTTGGGAGAAATCTTTCTGTTTCCCACAGGCAGGACCGGGCCACGTGCTGGTCTGTTATCACAAGGTCTCTAGGGACGAAAGCCAACTCACAGGCCACTAACACCACCAACAAAAGTTGGGTCAGGCCTGTATTATTGATGAACTTGGTCCTTGAGCTTGAGATTGCCCAGCTTCCACCACAGGAACTAGAAAACTGAATCCAGCCAAGAGTCCTAGCTGCTACCCAGTAAGCTAGAAATGGAACAGATGCCAGTGGTACGGGGGCAGGGGAAATGCCCAGCTCAGGAGATCGGGAAGTACTGAAAAAAATGTGGTTTCTTCTGAGCTACCGCCTTTAAAGAGGAACAGGGGTTGGGACTGGGTAGTGGACAGAGAATGGAGTGGGATATTCAGAGGAGTGGACATGGGCCCTACAGATGGATGGGTGATTAGCAGGGGACTCCTGGAACACTAAGCTGTATGATTACACAGTTAAAGAACTTGGTGTCCTGGTTATTGGACCTGTTCTCAAGGAGATTGGGGGTGCTGATTCAGAAATGTGCATCACATAGATCTCATCAACTTAAGTTTTTTAGATATGGTGTTCCATCATATTTTCAGCTATTAATTTTGAGAGGAATTCAGACACATTACAGAATAAGACAAAAAAGGGAAGAAATATTTGAAAAATAATAAAACATTAAGGAATTTCCTTCCAAGGGAGCTTTATGTAGACCCATTGAGTTGCCAATCATAAGGTCAGTGAGTCAAATTCACCAATCACTCTGCAGCCTTGAAGGATGTAAATGTTTGGAAACCGAAAGGAAATGAGAGACTTCCTAGCAATTGTCAAAAAGTATTTGATGATCTAAACTTTTCTTCTTCAAATTGTGCGGCAAGCCTTTCAGAACACAATTTTAATATACAGAAATGGATAATTCACATGAAATGTTTCAGAGGTGAGGTTGACTCCAAGCCTTTTTATAAGAAAATCTCTAATTTTAAGACTTTCTGTGCACAGGTGGAGACGAGGGGACTATTTTAAATGTTATTTGTTTTATTTACTTTTGCTTCAGAGTCTATTCCTCAGTGTATTACCAACAACTACCGACACATGGCCACAGAAACCAGGACAGAAGAGTGAGTACTAAATAACTTCTGGACACGCAAGATTCCATACAACGTTTTCTTGAAGAACAATTCAGAGAGTTACCTGGATGCATAAATTCTAGTCGAAGCTGCCTGACTCGTCTTACTGCAGTGGCTGGTGTGTGGCTGTGATGCTGGCCGCTATGCCACGGTCATGCTGGCAGGGTGATGCGTGGGACCCAGTGCGAGGGGAGCTGCCAGACCAAGAGCGACTAGGAAGAAGGAACAGGCCGTCCACTTCCGAAGGAAGAGCCCCTGAGCATCTGACTGGAGAAAGAGCTGTCTACTCAAGGTAGAATTGACCTTTAGAAAAAAGGTTTTGTTGCATATACTTCCCATATCACACAATGTTATCGTCTGCTCATATTAAGATTTGTGCAGTTCTCAGCACATTCAATTTCAGAAAACGTTCTTATACGCATTATTAGCTCCCCTTTCCCCCACCCCTTGCCCCTTGCCATGTCCCTAGGCAATTATCAAGCCAGTTACTGCTTCTATAGATCTACCTGTCCTGGATGTCAGATAGAGACAATCATACGAAACACAAACAAGAAGCAAACAAACTACAACAATGACTAGACAAAACATAGGAAACCCCCAACCACAAAGAAAGCACAAAAGGTTAAAAACTAAAACTTTGAAATAGGTCAAGAAGGAGATCAAATAATAAGGTATTACATTTAATCAAACTACATCTTCCATAATCGACCTACAATGCTCTCTGTCTGATGGCAAAGCTATCAATGTCCCTGAATTATGGGGCAGTTTAATTTAAGTAAAGGAGTGAATTTTCAGAATTTTGGAATCTCTATTTATTGAACCAAACTCGCTACCTGCCAGTGGCTTACAACTCATCATGGTCCTGTAGGACAGAGCGGAGCTTCTTCTGTGGGTTCTGAGGCTGTAACTCTTCACGGGAGGAGAAAGGCTCACCCTTCTCTTGCAGAGTGCATGCTGGACTCAAACGGTTGACCTGCGGTTAGCAGGAAAACGCATAATCCACTATATGCCACCTGGGCTCCTGACTTACTATACAGTAACTTATTTCTGGCCTCTTTCTTAGATAACAATTTGGAACTGCCTGCTATTCAATTCCTAATAAAGGTGAAGGGGTGCTTGGAGAAAATTCCAAGTTCATGTGATTTTTACTATTCAAATATCTCTTTGGACCAAAGGACGCCCTGTCAAGTATAACTTGCCCTAAATATCTGGTACAAAATAAACTACTTCAAATAAAGCCAGCATGCACTTCCTCTAGCTTAGGCCAGCTACCACTACATTAAAATAACACCATCACCCTCTTTTATGGGCAAGCAGAGTGGAAGAATGGTCTATGGCATATGTTCTGTCTCACAAAAACTAGAGCTGCGAGGGGAAACTTGGTGCCCCTTTTGGAATCAGCAGGTCAAATGTCCCCAGAAACAAGGATGAAATTTGAGGCACTCTCAGTAGGTAGCTTGTTGGGGCACAGGTTACTGAGCAGGTGGGAGACTTTTCATGAGAAGGAGACATGACTGTTCAGCCAAGGACTTTGGATGTGGTATCAGTGGGAGTCCTCGGTGGGGCAAATGGTGAGTGCCTCAGCTGCTGACCGAAAGAGTGGAGGCACAGGTCCAGCCAGAGGGGCCTCGGAAGAAAGGCCTGGTGGTCTCTTTCAGAAGCATCGGCCACTGAAGACCTTACGGAGCACATTTCTGCTCTGACCCACATGGCGTCTTCGTGAGTTGCAATGACCAGGCAGCAGCTGCTTTGGGAGGTGGGACAGGGAGCCCGGAAACCACCTGGCATATTCCTGTGGGGTCCTTGAGCAGAGTTCATAAAGGGACAATTCCAGAAGGTGTGGGAAGGATTAAGGGCAGCAAATCAGGCCTGGGCAGGAAGTCATTTCCATCCTTAAGTCTCCAGGGAGAAAGGAATTTGAGAGAGCCAGAGATCCTAACACATGCATATAGCAGCCGGGGCCTTTGGATAAAGGGCCTTGATGACTTTTAGTGACCTGGCTGGGAGAAAGCGAGAGAAATAATACCTCAAATTATTTCTTTCTCCTCCTCCTCCTACCAGGGGCCTTCATTTGTTTAGCTCACTGTAATCAGACGGCAAGAGAGCCTATGCCTACAGTCTACATACCCAGCCTCCTGCATCTCAGAGTGGAAAGACAGATCTGGAGGGTCAAGCAAGGAACACTCAGTTTAGAGGGAGAGGTAAACCTTAAAGGAACAAAATAATCAGAAAACATCCTGTAGGTAGTGCTGGATGACCCTGAACGTTTTGAATGTAAGAGCACTCTCGGGCCTCTAGAGGGAGCTCAAGGATTTTTCTCCTTTCCCTACCTCAGTTCCCAGGGAGAAGAAACATCAACAGGGGTAGACTCCTGGGAACTAGTTCTTTATTAGGAGATGAAACTGGAAAACAAAACGAACAACTTCACTACCATCATGTTGATCCTGACTCACGGAGACCTGTAAGACAGGATAGAACTCCCCCTGTGAGTTTCTGAGCCTGTAACTCTTTACGGCTGTGGAAAGCCTCGTCTTTCTCCCGCTGAGTGGTTGGTGATTTTGAACTGCTGACCTCGTGGTGAGCAGCCCAAAGTGTACCCATTAACTACTCGGGCTCCTAGGAAGAGTGAAACGATTGCTCATGGAGTGGGATATGTTCCCTTTACCCTTAGAGCTACTACTTTTGTATGCGTTTGTAACTATGACAAATAAAATAATCAAAACCAACATTTAATTAAATAAGCAATCTTACATTCTATCAAGTTCTCGATTCTCAGTACAATGACTTTTTGAGGCAAATACCATTGTAATTCTCAGTTTATAGATCAAGAGACTAAGCTCACATGACCAGTAACTTTGAGCCGGGAAGTGAACCCATATTACCCTGGGCCACAGTCTGCTCATTCTTTTCGCCTGGGCTTTTGATTCAAATGTTGTTACTGGAGGGACTCACAGGGCCAAGGACCAAGGGGATGTGGACTGAAAGAAATGGACTTTGTTAGAATTTGTCTTCCCTTTACAATTTAGGCACATATTTAATTATTGAGCACTAACTGCCAAGCGCTGAGCCCAGGCTGAAGACACCCAGGTGTGGTTTCAGACTTCCTGAATTAAATCGTGGGTCGACTAATCACTGGACTCTGGATCCTTCTTTCTCTAACATGCTGTTGTCATTATCATAAGTGCAAAATAGAATTGCTCTAAAGACTTCTCAAGACTGTGGCTTTTTTATTTTTAATCATTTTATTGGGGGCTTGTACAACTCTTATCACAATCCACCCATCCATCCAATGTGTCAAGCACATTTGTACATATGTTGCCATCATCATTCTCAAACATTTTCTTTCTACTTGAGCCCTTGGTATCAGCTCCTCATTTATTTCCCTCCCTTCGCCAACCACCCGCACTCATGAACTCTTGGTAAGTTATCACTTATTATTATTTTTTCATGTCTTACACTGGACTGTGCCTTTTTTGAAGCTGACTGCCTGGACTTATCTTCCAAGGCGCATTTGAGTGGGTTTGAACCTCCAACCTTCAGCTAGCTGTTGAGCACTCAACCACTTGTCCCACTCAGGACCTTCCTCTCAAATACAGACAAAAACAAAAATACAGAGCGCTGAGAACAACGTTGGACATGGTTAGTGCGACAATGGTGTGGGTTGCTATTATTGCAATACACCGTCAGCATTCAAAGCATTGACAGCAGAGCCAAGACACAGAAAGGACCAAGATCAGGTTGTCTGCCAAGTGCAACGGAACCAAGAAGGACAAGCGGCCTTCTTTTCCAGCAGGGCCTGAGGCCATAAGGACTCAGAGAGTTCTTGAGGCTTTTCACTACCCAGCTCAGTTTTTGTGTTGGAGGCCAATTCTCTAATTCAAGGGTGACGGATGGGCTTTTGCCTGGCACACCGCCCTCCCACCCCCCACCCCGACTCTGTTCAATTGATACGGGCTGCCTGAACCACTGTGCTGCGAGGGATCCTCAGGCTGCATGTAGAATGAATGAGAAAGAATGCCGTGGTAGATAAGTGATGTCTGCAGTTGATAGGAAATGGAGAGGCGGCGGGCAGCACGTGGTTCAAGGGCAGTGTTCTTTTGCAAGGAATGTCCCTTCAGCAGAGGGCAGCTGCAAGGGCTCAGAGGTCCTTCTGATAGTCACAAAGTAGGGTGGCCTACCGTGCTAGCTTGCCCAAGACTCTTCCCATTTTAGCAGTGGGAAGTCCCACATCCCAGGAAGCCCCTCTGTTCCTGACACATTATAAGGAGCTTCCCAGGCTTTTTGGCCATCTAACCACAGCTGAAAAAAGAAAGAAAATAATAATAAGAAACTGTGGACTATGACCAATAGAGATTACAGTTTTTATCTCGGCCCATTTCAGCCAGTGAAAATGCATCTCATTCTATCCTGCTGTAAAATGCCAGCCTGATAGCCTCAAACTTCTCCCCACTTTGTAATAGTCCAGCTTGTAGCTCTCTCCGCTCTCGGTTATTTTTCCTGCTGTCTCCATTGAAGTCTTGGCAGGAAACAGATGGAGCACTTGAACGGTTTAACTGAAAAGAATTTCATGCAGGGATTATTTACAGAAGTGTGGGCAGGGTTAATGGAACTGGCAGGCGCTGAGGGGACACCCAGGGATTAGTCCTTAACGCTTAAGGCCTGTAGGTGCACACGGGCAGGGATGGGTATTACCAGCCCGGTGAACACCGGAGCTGTGCAGGAGAAGGGAAGCCCTGCCTGCGAGGGGGAGTTTCTGCCTGACCGGCTGTGAGGTCAGAAGAGGTTGGAGGGGGAATCCAAGCCCCTGCTTCTTCTCTCTTGGCACCTCTTTCCCAGAGGGCAAGCAAACCCAGGGGACCAGGTAGTTCAGGAGGGGATCAAGCGCTCATCCACCAAGCAAGGTTTATAAGAGGAGAGAGCAAATCTGGGAATAGCCGGGCCGGGCTCACTGCTGCCACTCATAATTCTTTGCACTTGGCTGAAGACACACAGGTCTCCAACGCAGGGAAACGACAATGTGTCCTCAGCCACCATGTACTGGTGAAGTGATGGAGTTCCGTCACAGCCCTTCCTGGAACCTACACTGTCACATTTGCCCTCACCAGGTTTGGTCAGAAAAGGTATCAAGTAAAGGGAAACAAAGAAGCAGTTATAATAAAATGTAGCGGTTACCACCCACATCGGACTTGGTCTGATTAATGATCCTAATTTCCTTTGCCCACAACCCATCACATTGCTTCCCTAACACTCTGCTAGACCCTGGGAAGGTTGGATGTTCTTACCTGATGGGCT